TTTGAGCAGACATTTGAATAGCCAGTGTAAAGAATATAGGAATATGGAACAATTAGATGATGAAACTGGATCCTGATTCTAATTATGAGACACTAACGAGATGTTTATTGATGTATAATTGATTGTTTCATATGCTACTGTTTTAATTGTTTTTGCTTTATGTTGTTCTGAGCAATTTTGCTATTGCTAACTGCTTTGAGTTGCCTGAGGGCTGAGAAAAGCGGTATACAAATATAGTAAATGAATAAATAAATAATAAATAAATTGTAAATCCCTAAGTTGACTCAATGCAAACAACAAAAACAACAAACCATACAGGCAACTTGAGCTGCACCTTTTTGGTTCCGTTACTTCATTTCCACACTATTATCAAAAGATCCGTTTCTTTATGGATATACTAAAACAAAATTTCAAAGTTTTTTGAGTCCTTGCCCATTCTTCACCAGACTTGGAATGAGTGCATCTTCAGATGTGGAGAGAAAAAGAAAAATCCCCCAAAATCATTTTTGGCTAGACATTCAAACCACAGGATGTGCAGTTAGACTCAAGTTCCAAATTGGAGACAGCAGGCTTGAAGCATCCATTCGAAATGTAATGGTTTCACTTTGGGAGATGCAAAAATTATTGCTGAAAATCATCTCTTCAGCATTGGTATTAACCCCTCCCCACCCCAAGTTTCTAATCAGGCAATGGGGACAAATCTTTGGGGAAATAGCATGGAGGGGAAAGGTCCACCCCATTTTCCCCTTAGTCATACCCTTAAGGCAAGTTTTTCCTCTGCCTACAATAGCTGCTTTATGTTTTTAAAGAAAGAATTACCCTTATCTAGATCATCATAGAATTCCAAGGTGTAAATAACTGACCCCTAGGATCTTAGGGATGCTGACCTCTCTGAGTAAATTTGATGATGCCAAATTGTATAATTATGGCTTGCAGCACTGCTTAGCTACACTTACTAACATGCTTCCATATTGGGAAACAAGCCTGTCTTATGACTCAAGGAGAGGTAAGTAACAAATGATGATGATGATGCCAATGTTGCAATCCCAGATGACAGCAGAATTGACGAGAAGCAACTAGAAAAGCTTTCATGATATGAGGATTTAAAGATCGAAATAATAATAATAATAATAATAATAATAATAATAATAATAATAATAAATACATACATACCAAGATTAGTACACAGCAGACAAGATTGACGATGAATTCGGATTATGATTTTAACTAAGAGATGCATTGGTCGGTATTGGTGGCCCGATACTGTGTACTGTATATGTTTTTTATGCTTTTAAATTGTTTGATTATTGTTGTTTTTAAGTACTGTTAACCGCAATGAGTCGCCGTTGTAGGCTGAGATATTGCGGTATATAAGCATACAAAATAAAATAAAATAAAATAAAGATCACTATGCTGGCCTTTGTATTTTGACACGATACGAGGATTTAAAGATTGAACTGCAAAAACTCTGGCACAAGCCAGTCAAGATGGTCCCAGTGGTGATTGGTACACTAGGTGCAGTGCTTGGAGACCTTGGCCTACACTTAAAAACAATTGGCACTGACAAAATTACCATCTGTCGGCAGAAAAAGGCCACCCTATTTGGATCGGCATGCATTATTCATAGATACATCGCACAGTCTTAGAAACTTGGGAAGTGTCCAATGTGTGTTCGAATATAAAAGCTAGCATAGCAATCTTGTTTGCTGTGTACTAAACTTGATGTATATCAAATAATAATAATAATAATAATAATAATAATAATAATAATAATAATAAGTGACAGCAGGATTGCAGAGAAACAACAGGAAAAGCTGACACGATATGAGGATTTAAAGATCAAACTGCAAAGACTCTGGCACAAGCCAGTCAAGGTGGTCCCAGTGGTGATCGGCACACTGGGTGCAGTACCTAAAGACCTTGGCCTGCACTTAAACACAATCGGCGCTGACAAATTACCATCTGCCAGCTGCAGAAGGCCACCTTACTGGGATCTGCACTCATTATTCGCTGATACATCACACAGTCCTAGACACTTGGGAAGTGTCCGGCGTGTGATCCACTACAACAGCCAGCAGAGTGTCTGCTGTGGACTCATCTTGTTGTGTTTCAAATAATAATAATAATAATAATACAAAACACCCACACTAACAAAACACATGGGTGTTTTGTTTAGATTTATGTTATTATAGAATTTTGTCTGATTATGTGAGTTTAATTAAGTCTTAATTTGATGTTAGGCTTTAATGTTACTTTTATATGTGGGGGTTTTATGGAATTTTATGTTAGTATCATGTGTTTTATGTAGGCATTGAATGTTTGCCATTGTTATGCTGGAATTCGCCCCGAGTCCCCTCGGGGAGATAGGGCGGAATACAAATAAAGTTATTATTATTTGAAAGACAGCAAGATGAGTCCACAGCAGACACTCTGCTGGCTGTTGAATTGGATCACACGTCGGACACTTCCCAAGTGTCTAGGACAGTGTGATGTCTCAGCAAATAATGTGTGCAGATCCCAGTAAGGTGGCCTTTTGTAGATGGCAGATGGTAATTTTGTACTTAAGTGCAGGCCAAGGTCTTTAGGCACTGCACCCAGTGTGCCGATCACCACTGAGACCACCTTTACTGGTTTGTGCCAGAGTCTTTGCAGTTCGATCTTCAAATCCTCATATCGTGTCATCTTTTCCTGTTGTTTCTCTTCAATCGTGCTGTCACCTGGGATTGCAACATTGACAATCCATACTTTGTTTTTTTAACACAATCGTGAGGTCAGGAGTGCTGTGCTCCAAAACTCTGTCTGTCTGAAACCGGAAGTTCCAGAGTAGTTTGAAGTGTTCATTTTCTGTAACCTTTTCAGGCTTGTGATCCAACCAGTTCTTTGTTGCAGGCAGATGGTATTTGCGGCACAGGTTCCAATGAATCATCTGAGCAACGGAGTTATGCTTCTGCTTGTAGTCTGTCTGCACAATCTCCTCCTCCTCCTCCTCCTCCTCCTCCTCCTCCTCCTTCTTCTTCTTCTTCTTCTTCTTATTATTATTATTATTATTAGTAGTAGTAGTAGTAGACTAATTTGTCCCCCCATATTCTGGTCTCCCAGAGTCCAACATTCAAACCACACCATGCTGGCTCTCATGAACCATAAATGCACCAGGTCTAATTCTTCAGCTGCACTATAATATTCAGGATCTTTTAACTCTTCTTAAACTGCTGGATTTAGTTTACATTAAAAAAAAGAAACAACTGAAGAGTGAACAATCCTGGCTAAAAGCAAACACCAATATTAATCGTGTTTCTTTTGTTGGCAATATCACAAAGGGCATTTGTTTGAGTCACAAGCTCCTTCCTGAGCCAGCTGTAAATGAATGTTACATTTCGTGATGAAACAGTCATTTAAAAGTTCAAGCACAGGGTATGTTTTCTTGAACGCATTATTAAGCCTGTTTTTTCCTCCTCTTTGTACTACTTAACTGCCAGATATGTCACCCCCTAAAAGCTGGTCAACAGGGCAATATGTATAAATCGTGGTGATAGATTCTCGCGGAGATCAATGTGCCACAAGTGTGTGGTTTAAGCAATTAGCCTTGTTTCTTGTTAATAGAGATGCCATTCTTCACTAAGATTCTTCTCAAAGGAAGGAATGAGTAACTTTCAGAGTCTTATTTCTACTATGGGAAAATCTTCAAAAACCATACAGTTTTCAAAGCCAGTGGGGACTTGTTCTGTGCAAGTTGTTGTTTTCCAAGGGAAGGCCATATTTCTAGGCAAAGAATTCAAAACCTGACCTCACTTAGACAGGAAAAACGAAATGCAAAGATACAGAATGGGGGACGCCTGGCTCGAGAGCAGTACGTGTGAAAAAGATCTTGGGGTCCTCATGGACAACAAGTTAAACATGAGCCAACAATGTGATGTGGCAGCAAAAAAAGCCAATGGGATTTTGGCCTGCATCAATAGGAGCATAGTGTCTAGATCTAGGGAAGTCATGCTACCCCTCTATTCTGTCTTGGTTAGACCACACCTGGAATATTGTGTCCAATTCTGGGCACCACAATTGAAGAAAGATGTTGACAAGCTGGAATGTGTCTAGAGGAGGGCGACTAAAATGATCAAGGGTCTGGAGAACAAGCCCTATGAGGAGCGGCTTAAAGAGCTGGGCATGTTTAGCCTGAAGAAGAGAAGGATGGGAGGAGATATAGCCATGTATAAATATGTGAGAGGAAGTCACAGGGAGGAGGGAGCAAGCTTGTTTTCTGCTTCCCTGGAGACTAGGACATGGAACAATGGCTTCAAACTACAAGAAAGAAGATTCCATCTGAACATGAAGAACTTCCTGACTGTGAAACCTCTGTTTTAATGGCAAAACCTTATAATTCAAAGTGTTGGTGGAGGCTCCTTCTTTGGAAGCTTTTAAACAGAGGCTGGATGGCCATCTGTCAGGGGTGATTTGAATGCAATATTCCTGCTTCTTGGCAGGGGGTTGGACTGGATGGCCCATGAGGTCTCTTCCAACTCTTGATTCTATGATTCTATGATTCCCAGAGTCCAAGTCCAGCACTCAAATCGTCATACCACATTAGTTTGGATGCTCCACATCTTGATGTGGTTCAGGAAGTAAATCGTCTTAGAATGACACTAACCTTTTGATCTGGAGAAAAGGCTAAAGCCTTCCAGATATTGCACACAACTTTTTTTTTCTTCCCTCTCTACTGCTGAGTATGCATGCCCAGTGTGGAATACGTCTCGCCACATTAAAACAGTGGAAGTGGCTCTTAATGAGACGTGCCACATTATTTTTACACATTATAACTGTAGTCTCAATTTGCTTCTGACACGATAAATAAATAATCAAAACCAACAGTTCTCCTTTTCTGCAAAAAGATAATGTTTACGTCAACAAACAATCAGCCACAATAAAAGTAAGATCATTTCAAAAAGTATGTTGAAACCATTTCAGTTCCAAACATTATACAAAACGAGGAGCCTGTGAACAGTCCTTACCTGTTCCTCTTAAGAGTGTTGAAACTGTAAGGCCAGTATTTAGGAATCCGAGTATATCTTCATCTCAAAAGTCTTTGTTCCATGCCATTTACAATCAGAGGCCATCTGTTGACGCTGTGGATATTTTCTCCTCATTTGAACTTCCACAAGCATGGGAGGGAACCACATAAACTATGAAATTAAAGAGAAACATTCAACTGAATTTTCCTCCACCAAAGCATTTAGAAAAGGAAGTGTTTAAACGTTTTTTTTTCTCCTTTTATTTCTTCTCCAGATCATAATGCATCTTTCCCCACAAAACTCAATTACATAGCCCAGTGATTTACCAGCAAAGCTGGTCAAAAGATATTATCTATGCCAGTTAATGCGTGTAACTAGTTACAATACAAAATAAATCCTCCCCAAATTACAGAAAACAATCATGCAAAATGTTACAAAAAGAAATCTCGGGAGCAATGTAGCAGTAATCATGGGGAAAATATCCACGAGGCACCAAACCCGGGGATAATTTCAAGTCCTGATCCCTAGTCCCTCTTCTATTTTTCCTAAATTTGCCTTCAGGGGGAAATTGAGAGATAACGTTTTGAAAATTAGTTAATGAAACGCTTCTGTTCTTCACATTTCAAACTCTCATTCTCATTTAAGCTGCAATATCTGCATATTGTACACATGTCTAGGATTGTATCAGATTATACCCAGCTATGATTACTCATTCAGAAATGTCTGCTTGTGTGAGTTTGTTTTTGGATTGTCCAATTTGTTCCCCAGCAAAAGTACACAGGATCATATCTAAATCCCTGAGTTGAGAAACAAGCCATCATACTGTTGGTGAATGTGAGCGAATGTATGGGTGAGATATGGCGCAGGTAGTTGCTCACCTGCTGCTAGTAAATACCAATTTCTTGGAGATTTCTGAGATTTGGGCCCATACACTCAAGTCACTACAGCATGCTGGCTTTGGTCAATCAATGTATAGACTAGTCCTAATTCGTGAACCCCCGGTGGCACAGCAGGTTAAACTGCTGAGCTGCTGAACTTGCTGAGCAAAAAGTTGGTGGTTCAAATCTGGGGAGCGGGGTGAGCTCCCACTGTTATCCCCAGCTTCTGCCAACCCAGCAGTTTGAAAACATGCAAATGTGAGTAGATCAATAGGTACCGCTCCGGCGGGAAGGTAACAGTGCTCCATTCAGTCATGCTGGCCACATGACTTTGGAGGCATCTACAGACAATGCCTACTCTTCAGCTTAGAAATATAGATGAGCACCACCCCCTAGAGTTGGATGCAACTAAATTTAACATCAAGGGGAAATTTTCCCTTTACCTAGTGTATATATGGTTGAGAAAGCCAGACCATAAAGAAAGCTGATAGGAAGAAATCAAGTGATGAGAATGAGAGGTCAAAAGCATACCATCATCACCAAACATTTGAAGGGTTTTCACATATGGTGGAGCTGATATTGACCATAGAATTGTGCTGAAGGAGCCAGAGATTCCTGGAGAGATGTCCTCTCAAATTATATATATTTACACACTATAGCCATCCCCTGCCACATATTGCTGTGACCCAGTCTGGTGATCTGGAAAATAAAGTAATTAGAAAGTGTTGGTTTCTAATATATGTAATGACTTTATGCTAGTGGTTAAACAGTATTTTTTGTTGTTTCTTTGTCAGCGTTGATGTGGAGAGTGTCTGGTTTGCCTACTCTGGAACATGCAACATAGAATTGTCCTTCTTTAGGGGTCCCTTTCGAATCTATTATAGTCTATCTGTGGGTGTGTGTGAATCATATATATCCATCTATATCTATGGCTGGATGGCTCTTTGTCAGGAGGGCTTTGATTATGTTTTCTTGCCCTGGTGAAGGGAGTTGGACTGGATGGCTTTAAGTATGGGGGTTCTCTGTGGAACATTTGCCCCAATTCTGTTGTTGGTGGGGTTCAGCATGCTCTTTGATTGTAAGTGAACTATAAATCCCAGTAACTACAACTCCCAAATGTCAAGGTCTATTTTCCCAAACTCCATCTGTGTTCATATTTGGACATATGGAATATGTGTGTCAAGTTTGGTCCAGATCCATCATTGTTTGAGTCCACAGTGCTCTCTGGATGTAGGTGAACTACAACTCCCAAACTCAAGGTCAATGCCCACCAAACCCTTCTAGCATTTTCTGTTGGTCATGGTGTAGGGGCAACGAAACCAAAATATTTCCCAAAAAGGCAGATGCCCCCTTTCTAATAGGGAGGGCAAGGATGGACACCACAAAAGTTGAATCTTTTAAACTGCTATTTGGAGTCCTGTGTGCAGGGGCGGCTCAACCCATTACGCAAAGTAAGCATTTGCAGTATAGTTGATTTTAGCCAGGGCGCTCTTGAGGCATTCTCGGGGGAAAATAGACCTTGACATATGCGAGTTGTAGTTACTGGGATGTATAGTTCACCTACAGTCAAAGAGCATTCTGAGCTCCACCAATGATGGAATTGAACCAAATATGGCACACAGAGCTCCCATGACGAACAGAAAATATATGTCAGTAATTGGTTTTGGGGGTTTTTTTTGGGGGGGGGCCGCCTACTTAGGGCCGCCTCTGCCTGTGTGCCATGTTTGGTTCAATTCTATCATTGGTAGAGTTCAGAATGCTCTTCAATTGTAAGTAAACTATAAATCCCAGCAACTACAACTCCCAAAAGACAAAATCAATTTTTTGAGTGATGGTCACTCGTTGGGTTAGTAGGTATCTTGTGTCCAAATTTGGTGGCAATTTGTCCAGTGGTTTTTGAGTTACGTTAATCCCACAAACGAACATTACATTTTTATTTATGTAGCTATCAATAATTCAAATTCATGTTTTGTCCACATTCGTGGGGATCTTGAACCCGTAACCCACATGAAAGTGGCAACCTACTATAATTAAGGATCTTCTAAACTCGAAGGGCCAGAGGAGGCCTAGAGATAAGGAAGAGAGGGAACATAGGTGACAGTTAACTGTTGCCTGTCTTGTGAAGCCTAGGTGCCAAGGGGGGGAAAGTAAAAATGAGTGGCCCAAAGCAGAGGAAATAAGAAGACATTGAACTGCATGAAATCTGTGTGTGCTGCTTTATATGCATGTAGGCAAACTGGAGAATCATTTCTCTAATATGAATTGAAATACAACGTGTTTCATCATTGTGGCGAAGACTGTGACCAAGTGACTTCTCGTGCTGTTCAGTTGCTCAGTTGACGGACAGCCTCAAGGCCCCTGATCTCCCCTCTTAGGCTTCTTTATCTTTAAACCAACCTGGAGTGACTGTTTTCAAAAAGAGAATTGACCTTTGACAGCCCTTTGAATAAGGGGACTGTAAAGGAGGATGCTGCTGGGGCAAGAGGCTGGGGCAGGCTGGAAGCTGTGTCTCACAGGTCCTACAGGGACCCCTTTTGATGTCCTTTTTGAAGGACTTCATGTAACATCTCTAGAGATGATCCAAATACTACATTTCTGGCTCACTGAAATGTCTTCATATGGAGCTTCTTTGAGGATTTTCTCACCATTCGGATATATTTTTTTTAAAAAACTTTCTTACAGGATCATTTCCAAACTTGTTGCATGGGTAAAAATACTCTTGGCAAATTTAGCTTGAGAACATGGGTGTTGGGAAAATATTGGTTTATCCTTGAAACTATGTGAGGGGGAAGATGAAGATGATAGTAATTACTCAGATGGTTTGTTGTAGGTTTTCCAGGATGCATGGTATAGCGACGTTGAGGATTTATTTGAGAACTAGCTGTTGTGACTCAGCTTGACTCTGAGTCTGAAGCTGAGATGTTTGGGTCTTCTGAGGCTGATTTTGGGCCTTCTGATTTTGGGCCTGATTTCCTGCAGGATGATGAGGAGGCTGATGGGTTACAGATTCCTGTACTTGGTTCAGACGGGGCTGATAGTGTGGCTGCTGAAGGAGAAACAACAAGTCAGTTCCCTGGGGAAAGGAATGCTCCTGCAGTTAGAGAGACTGATAGCGAGAGTGAAATCCCACACGGCCAGGTGGAGGATCCGTCCCAGCTGGACTCAGATAAGGGGTTGCATAGCCTTGCAGATAATGAATTAATGAGCAGACAAGATCGTTTGCAATTAAGGCTTTGGAGAAGCACTCGCTTGGCCAGCAAGCGAGAAGCCAAACAAGGTCAACACAATGCTTTCATGTTCGCAAAGGGTATTTAGTTTTCTAGCTGACAAGCAGTTGTTGTCAGTCCAACATTGCTCTTCCCATGTTAACTTCTGGAGATTTTCCTTGGCTGTTCGCAGCACACTTCTGGCTTCCTGAGTTTGGGATTTGGGTCTTGTTTTCAACGGTTAACCATGGACTTTTGCTTCACCATTGCTAAGGGATTATACTTCATGTTTTTGCCTTTGGATCTTGGGAACTTTGCCTTTACATTTAAGACTCTGTTTTGCCTACGGAACTTTTGCATTTCCATTTCTTTGCTTTGATTTTGTTTTTATCAATAAACTACAAAAACCTACAGCTTTGGTGTGGTGGTGTTTGAAGCAAGGTGTAAACTACCCTGAGTTGCAACATTAGCCATTCCCTGCCACGCGTTGCTGTGGCCCAGTCTATGTATATATGTGTTGTGTGTATATATATTTGTGCATATATGTATATATGTGTGTATGCGTATATATATGTGGTTTTGCGCATGTGTTGTAATGTTTCTCTCTCTCTCTCTCTCTCTCAATCTCGGCTTTTTAAGTCCTTTCCGTTGTGTTTTTCAGTGTTTTTGTGTGTGATGGTCACTTGTTGGCCTGATAGGTGTATTGTGTCCAAATTTGGTGTCAATTCGTCCAGTGATTTTTGAGTTCTGTTAATCCCACAAACAACCATTACATTTTTATTTATATAGATAAAAATCCCCAAAAACAAAATACCACTTGTATTGGAATGTGGCTTCTGTGATTAAAAGCCCCAAGACAAAAGCTGAAAGAAAACTGGAACTTTCTTCTGGCCGAAAAACACCTTTTGAAAGCTCTCTGGCACCCACCAACTTAGAAGCACTGGAAGTAACTTAGGCAAGAGTGTGTTGGATTAGCCCTCAGGCTTGTGTTCTGAAGTAACACTAAAGGTTGTTCTTTAGATTATACGCTGCCACCATTAAGCTCTTGATTACTGCAGGAAAACTACTCTTAAGACTTCACCCACAG